AGTGAGAGATTTTGGGTAAGATGGTACAAAAGCCTTTGCATCACTTTGCAGAACAAACTTACTCACTTCCGCATCTGTAGATACAATTGTTGGACTTCCAAATATGTGTGACTTGAACACCTTCCCATACCTACAAAAGCAACCCAAATCATAATTCTCACAAACATGCCTCTATCTTCATCATCATCAAATATACATGGGAGTTTCCAAGTTTTCAGCTACCAAACCATTGGAGCTTAATGAAGTAAATCAGCTGAAACATGAAGCTGAATCATTAAAACTGAAGAATGCTTATTGGGTTTGTTGTTTGATGTACAACACACAAACCCAACAAAGCATTTTTATTCATTCAGTCTTAATCACAAGTTAATACATGGAAATCACTCATGCAGAAGCAGATTTATATAGTGTGCTCTGCTCTTTGGTTTAGATGAAAGTAATACATGTTGTATTATACATGTTAATAAGTTGCTGCTTTTACTAATTAACTTTATGTGTGTTAATGTACTTACAAGTGGCGGCGTTTGTCCATGAAGCTCTCAGGGCAGTCAGAGTAAGCACAAGACACAAACTCAATGGTTTCACCAAGAAATGGCCATCCAAGAGTGCCTAAAGGAAGTGGCCTTCTTCTGTGTTTTGATCTCAGGATCAAATTGCTGTTGTTTCTGTAGAGAAATATAATGGACAAGATCAAAATTGCTGTTGTTGCTGTTGCTGCCAATATTAGTACAACCAGCAAATTGTCCATTTTGGAAATTTCCCCACACGAATGTATGTAGCGCTCTTTCTCTATATATAAGCTTAGCTTTAGCTTTCCAGTCTGCACCCCCTTAAATAATATTATTCTTAATCATGGTTCCAATGAGGAGATTTTGTTGACTGAAGAATGAATGTGCATGTACACAATGCACGCGTGTGGGAAGAGAGAGAGAGAGAGAGAGAGAGAGAGAGAATGTTTAACCAAAGAATAATTGTATCGGGAGATGCATAATCTAAGCTATAGATAGATTTGTTTTGGCAGCTTATATAGGGTCTAAAGTTAAAAATTTAGCTTCCTACTTAAAGTTATCGCGGAGTGGAAGACGGTTTTTGGAGTTTTTATCTCTTGGTCATCATTTAATTATAAAAATTAGTGATCACCAATCGTCATGAATTTTCATTCATGATGGTGACCGAGAAATCAAAACTTACTTACCTAGTGTAAAACTCTTTGAATAGCCAACTTTATAAGTTGGCTTGACCAATGAGATCAACAGTATGGCTAACAAGTCTTGATTTTATATTTATTTTAACAGTTCAACACCAAGCAGACATTTATAGCTTTGGTAGTAGAATCTCCATACCTACAACTAATTCATGCACTAAGGCAATACTAAATTTTTGCTTTTAAAAAAAAATTAGTGATGAAATTCAAACCTCGAACATCTTCCAATATTCAAAAGAGAAGCACTATTAAACTAATATCATTATACTAAAAGTTAGGCTGTGAATAATACTGCACATGTATATAACATATACTACATGTGTTCTTACCAAGTTATGATGGATTTCAGTACAAAAGAACTTTCTCTTCTGCTTTCCCTTTTTTTCTTTTTGATGATAAGTAGCAGAAAGAACTTCAAATTCTTTCATGAGCAATATGATAAGTTTGTTAAATATACAGATATATAAATTGGGAGAAGCCCCCACAGGCTCATGATTGATCATCTTGCGGATTGAGAAGGCCCCCCATTGGCAGAGGCTCAGCTGGGTGGCCTCGTGCGTTCATGTGAGACTTAATTAAGTCCAACCACACTCCATCATCATCCCCTGCCCTTTTGTCCTTCTCTCTCTCTCTCTCTCTCTCTCCTCCAGAACTACAAGCTAGGCCAACCTCTCATGTCACATTCATTCCCATCCTTTCTCATTTCATATGGTGGAGGGCTTGAGGCCACATGTACTTTTCCCCTCTCTTCACCAAAAATACTCTCCTTTATATAAATCCCTCTTCATGAAAGATCTTCGAGGGGCACGTTGTCACTTATAATACCCCAATATGGTGGAGGGCTTCATCAACGACACATGTCTTTGAGGCCGAGGCCCCTACCAACATGGGCAATGTTGTCTTTTTCTTGTAATGAGTAGACATTAGTTCTTGGCTGAGCTCTTTATTTGAGGTTCCAAAGTTTGAATGCTTTTTCTGGATCCATCTCACATCGATAACTCGACCCCTACCACCTATAGGCAGGAGGAGAACACAAATTCAATCATCTCTTCCCACAAAGAATTGTTTGGGCGGGAGTTTTTCTTTCTTTTCTTTTCTAACTTGTTTCCCAACTGCATGCGGAAAAGTTTACAAATTGTTAACTTTCTTCTTTAGGTTTAGAATTTGGAGCTGAGAGAAAAAGCATTATTCTGTATCAGCATTCTTTTAGGCTTTAGCTTTTTCAAAATCTCACTTGGATTGTTTCCTAATGATATCCAAGTTCTTTATGCAGACTTGCTTTATTTCCTTGTTCAAACTACCTAACTTATGATTATCTTATTTATCTGATATTTTAATCACCTATCATCATTTTATAGGTAAGCTAAGTACTTTAGCCACATATCATCATTTGATCAAATTGTTCGGCTCTTAATCGGCTCCATTTGTTAATTTCCCACTATATCTTTCAGAATCCAAGAGAATATGTTGGATATATTTGTTTATCCATGGGGTTTAGGGATCTTTGGAGCATATATTATATACTGTGCAATAGTCTTATGTCTTTGTGCATCATGTGGGAACTCTCGCAATATGCAGTGCACATATAGGGTGTCCATGTCCTTTTTGGAAAGTGTGCATATGCTTTCGTTAGGAGACTTAAATAGTCAAAGAATATATACGGCGAGAGAGTTGTAACTTAAGTGATTAAAATATGACAAGATGCTTATAACTCAGGTGATTAAGAATATTACAAATTTATAAATAAACCCAATCCTACACATGTATTTATAAAAAAACTCAAGCACTATTTAAACATAGAAACACACTCAAAATCAACCCCAAAGTCAACTTTTTTGGTGTGTTTATAAATGGGTTTTGAGTGTGTGTAATGATGAGTTTTGGGTGTGTTTATAAAGTGTTTTGGGTGTTGAGTTTTTTTATAATTTCAACCTCCATTTTGGGTGTTTTAGTGAAACTCCCTAAGAATATTTACACCGTGGTCTTGTGTTCGATTTTCCCATTTGTCACTATCACCTCATATAAAATAAAAGAAATAGGTGAAGAACATCCAATTCCTGCACGCGGACACCAAATGAACATTAATCATCTTTTGTTCCAGTGGAAATGCTAGTAAGCAGCAGATAGCAGAGACAAACAATTAGGACAGGGAAGGAGTCATGGTATTTGTCACCATTCCAAAATTTCATAGTCAGAAAGGAATGGAAAAATATAATAAGCATACTTGACGAGGAAACTTTCTTTAGGGGTGTATTCAATTGAGATTTTAATAGATTGTTTTGAAGCTTAAAAGTCCAGTGGTATCCAATTAGGATTTTTAAGTAATCAATAAAAATTTGGTGGTATTCAATTAAGATTTTTAAATAATCAATCCAAGTCTTGTGATATTCAATTAGGACTTTTAAAAGATAAGAAAAAGTAAGGTGGTATTCAAAAACTTACTGATTTTGAGGTATTTCGTTAAATGGTGTATTGTGTGAGACTTTTGTGATATAAATACCAAACCCCATAAAAAAATCCCACCCTCCTATGTCTTATTCTCACGTTTTTTGTTTTTGGGGAAGATGAACAAATGAAGATAAACAAGGTACTCATGACTTTTCAAGGACTTGGTTTAACCAGACTTGATCCCTCTATATTTAGTGGATGGACTCAGATAGCTATCTTTGTTTTCTTTGCTTTCTCTAGTCTATCTTGTTTTCTTTTTTCTCCTGGCTGTTTGGTTGCAAGAGGTGTTTCCCGCCTTTCTTTTGGCTTCATGTCTATACTGTTTGTTTGCTTTCATCTTATTGATAATCTCTTTGCCCAATAAAAAAAAAGACTAAGATGGCTTACCTTCATATATCTAAACAATAATTTTAGATACGTTGCTTTCAATAATTATTCATATTATGCAATATGCGTGCATTTTTCTCAATAGATTTTCAGCTTGTTTATTTCCTTTGATTTATTTGTCTTTCTTTAGTCAATTTGTGGAATCAATTTGAGTGACAAGTGTTGTGTACTAGTATCTGTCATAGCTGGACCATTTTGACTTGTTTTCAGCTTGTTTATTTCCTTTGATTTAGTTGCCATACATGACAGATAGTAATGATAACTTGAGCTAAAATTGGTGTAACTTCAACTTTCTGCTTCTTTAAAGGCTTGGCATCCTTTAACTAATGCATGAAAGATGGCTAACCCAAATCCAATTCACACTTCGATGAAATCTACTTTGGAGAATACAAGAAAGTCCTACATGAATTAAAATCATAAGTAAAATATTGTAATTACAATCTATTAAAATCATAAGAAAAATCATGTCATTACAAATCATGCTGAAATCTATTACATTAAAATCATGCCTTATATTTAGACTTTTTGTACATTTTGTTATCTTTAGGAAAATAATAAATAAATAAATAAATAATCACTTTCTTCATAGTGAAAATATGGGTGGAAAAGCTTCTTCATTGTCCTTTCCTACTTCAGATCATGTGAATGTTTCCTCAAGTTTGTTGGTTGGCCCACGTTTGCACTTGCAAACTTGAGTTTCAGCCAGACCTCACACTGATGTGTATAAAAAATTGACAAGACCAACATACTTATTCCAGGTCCAAAGCACCACATATTCACTGATTCAAAATGAACAATATTCTTGTATGATATGAAACAACGATGAATTTCAGAACTTCCTTCAATTGACAATGACGACTAACTTTGTGTAGACACGATCCACTATAGAGATAGAGACAATCAAAAGGAAATACGGGATATCAATAGAATGAGGAGAAATGGCTTTTTCCTGTTAGTAGAGTTAGATTCTTGGAAGGGATTTTGCCCGGATAAACTGTTTAAGAATGGCTTTCTCCTCATCAATGCGCTTCTTCTCTTCAGGGTCTTTTGGCTTAACCTTTCTTTTTTCTTCCAGTATCCACTTGAAAAGTTCGCGCTGTTGATCCTCTGGGATTGGTTCTCGCAATTTCACAGGCTCTGTGATGGTTGACAGGGGCAGGGGTTTGTCAGTAGTAGTAGGAGTTGTTTGAGTTGTTGTCGAAACTGTAGTAGTTACTTCTTCCTCTACATCTGTGTCTTTCTTTTTCGTCCGCATGAACAGGTAAGCTACAAAAGTAAGTGTAAACCTCAGTGTCCAATTACAAGTTAATTAAAATCCATAAAAACTACATCAAGAATCAAATAATTCAAAATAGAGGTGATTCACTCATTAATATAATCATCCAACAAAGGAAGCAAATAAGGTACTGCAGCAATTATATGATTAGTGAGGTATCTTCCTCTCTACCAATCCTACAATGCTTGTTTGGAACATGTCCATTAACAACTATGCCAGGTACACATCCTATGTCCATACCCACAAGTGCTAACATCTATGTGCCCATTTAGCAGACTATTAAGAAAGCCATATTTAGATTTTTTTTAAATTACAAGAAAAATCATCCCTAATCAGTCGCAAACAGAAGCAGAGAAAGCATAAGTAGCCTGTTCAAGTTCACGGAGATTACAATGTAAAAAGAAGACATTCTATGCTGGTCAAGTTAACAGAGATGGTTTCATCCAGTCTATTATAATGTTCCTCACTAATAACGTCTTTATGTTGAACTACTTCTTTCTAAAACAAAAGAAGTGCCACCTAGGCTAAATGGAAACTTTCTGCTCACTTGTACTTTACTCGTCAGCATCCTTAGTTACACAATGGCCATTAAGTTCAACATCACTAATATAATGGTGAATTTTTGTTTTCCTCCAAAAGTGAGTGCTAGTAGCTTATTACAGAGTATCAAGTATCGACCATGTTTTTGTAGTCAACAAATGAAGTTCAACTAGTACTGCAGCCATAGTAACATCCTTCACACTGTGTTGTCTCCACACGGCAACCATCTATTCTCTCAAATTGCTACCTTGGCCCTTCACCAGCATGCCCAGTCCCTTTTGAGCATTAACAAAATCATACAGAATGGAACTGTGGATAGTTTAACATAATAACCATGACATCAACAAGTAATTTCTAGGAGCTTATGCTAGGTAAACCACAAACTGCCCTTACTCACTACATCTTGTCATGTAGTAAAACATGTGAAGGAAAAGTTCAAAAAAAGTTGGTTAAAAGTCACACAAGTTATTTTAAGTTTATGCTGAGACAAGTTGCATTAGATACAATTCACAAGCAGCTTCTAACAAATGTAGAGATCCTCTCTTGAAGGTTGATAGTTTTTGTTTTATGCTTTTTCTTCTGTTTTGTAGGGGAACAGATCAAGAAATAGCTTGTCCAGCCAGCATCCTCCACCTTATCACTATATAATGTTACAGGGAGTAGGATGCTTGGAAAACAAAAATCCATCTATTTAATCAACTGGATATGATTAGCAGAATAACAACTCACTTTTGATTGTAATTAGCAATCACCAATGTAAAGTGGACAGTCCCAAACATGTTTTGAGAATTATAATTGTTTACCCACATCACACACAGCCAGATTCACACATCCAAACTACTTTTGAAAAGCCTTTTGAACTTTCATTCCCCTTAAGCTATAACAAATCACCACTCTTCGTGACAAACATCTTATGACCTTTAGCATATAGGAACAACAATGAAGAAAATATTTCAATTATATGTCATAACCAATTCAGACCTAACGTCTTACTCAGCAGATACACTCAATTCCCCATTAAGAAAAAAGTATTCTATTAAAGCCAAACTTGGAACGTGAAAAAAAACATTCAAAGACTTTTCCTTCTTGATGAATATGATAATTAAATTTAAACTAAAGAAATTTATCTATAATGACCCAAGGATAGAACTTGCCCCTATAAAACCGACTTACAAGAAAAAGATGCATGAGAGTTTATATTGCGAGATATCCTCATTTGCCCATCACTGATATTAGCCCGATTCACTCATCCAGCGGTATTCAATCACAATACTATTCCCATACATAATACCAAAACATTTTAATCATCTAGTCCACAGGTTGTCCTTCAGTGGACTCTGTGTAGCCACATGGTGGAACCTACCTTTATACTAACTGTAATGAACCCATGAGTAGATATTGTCCCTATAAAACCAACTTCAAACAGGTGCTCAAGAACTCATAAACTAACTCAGAATGTTTTCTTTTCTTCTTTTATGTGGAACATTTGCGTTTGGATTATGACCAAACAAATAAAATCAAACTGAATTAGCACTTAATTGACAACTATCTAAAAAGGCCGCCATAAAGAAAAGCATTAAGAAGCATTAAAATGAGTTTCGAAGCAATAATCTCAAAACCCATTTCAGCTTTCTCACTTTCTTTCACTTTATACACATACGCACACACATCACTGCAAAAGGCTGGTAGAAAAACCAAAACAAATTATTCACACAACTTAATAACAAGAGAAATGGAAGAAAGACCTCCAACGCCCAGATTGACAGTCAAGAGCAGTGGCCAAAGAAACTTGTAACGCCGAGCAAACGACTCCTTTGGGGCCTGAGGTGGCGGAGATGGAGATTGAGTCGCCATTGTCGATGATGATGGTGGTGGTGAAGAAAAGTCTTTTCCTTTATGTTGATCTTGAAACTGTTTCAGCTGTGCTGTTTTTGAAAACACGAGACGAAAGCGAATAAAATACCAAAACCCCAATTATTGAAAGCAAAAAAAGATTCTTCATGTGGTTGAGAAATAGCTGTTTCTGATTTTAAAAAGCAAAAATGATTCGTATGGAACTTGGGATTTTTTACCTTTCCGGGGTTTGTTGGTGTAGAGCTTGGGATCTTCGCTCATTGTTGCAGGAAGCCTTGATTTCCTTTCGTCACTCGAAAGACTTTCTTGTTGGACCATACAGCAGCCTACTGTGGTATAGTTGCGTGTACTCCCTGTAGTTTCCATTCCACCATTGAACTCGGGGTTAACGGGCCGGGCCGGACCAGGCTGATGAAGGGGTTCAGTTCTAGTCCAAGCTCAAACCCAACTTGAAATTTAAGCCCACATGAGCCTTTTAACCTGGGCCCAAGCCTCTCTCTCTCGTCTCGTCTCGCGTGTGCCCATTGAACTTTTTTTGTTCTTTTTATTTTTAGAAGATTGAGTTTTAAAAAAAAATTAAAAGAAAAATACATGAAAGGACGTATAGTTTTTGTGTATATTTTTTAAATACAAGCAATATTAGGAAAAGAATGAAGAATGAATCGAATATAGGACCTCAAGTGCAAACACACCATTGATTTATTTATTTCAATTTAAACAGATTGTAAATACACTATTTTATTCTTACTTAAACACATTGCAAATGACCACTAGTGAAGTGATTTGGAGCAATTACTCCTCCATAAAAGATCATGGATTCGAGTCCTAGCATATGTGTAGTGTGTTTGACTTTAGTAATTATCACATCTCTCAATAGAAAAGGTCCTAAAAAAATAATAATAATAAAGTGTCTTCTTTTTTGGTATTTTCATATACCCCATAACAATTTGTGAGATTTTGAATGTTTTATCTCCAAGGCTTTATGTATACGTCGGAAGATAAAAACAAAACCAGAATCGTCACAAACAAACTCTAAAATTCTTTTTTTCTTTTTTTTAAATAATGAACATAAGATATTTGTTCTCCTACATCCTAGTCAGTCAGTATTCATACAAGTTTTTCCTGTTTTCTGAACAGAATACAATGTCATTGCCATATCCAAGATCATCATGAATCAGTTCCACGGACGACCTCCACCGTAACCCCGACCGCGATCTCGAAAACCGCCATGACCTGATCAATTATAAGTGACAACACAAAAAAATTTTAGGAGTCTTTAATTAACCTCTCGTCAAAGGAAAATAGACATGCATCCATCATTCCAAAATTAAAATTTCATCACAAACTGTAGTAAACAGATTAAAGAAAACATAGTTCATGCTACCTAAAACATTCTGGAAAATGTTTTCTTTCTTTCCTTCTTTTTTTCTTGGAGAAGCGCCATATATTTGCTTTATTTATCACCAATACCCTATCTAGACACTGACATCCAATACACAGGGAGAAGGTAAGACAGGGTAACCTAAACATGAAAAGAGGCATCCCCCCTTCTATTTCTATACCATTGACCCACAGTTCTTATGCACCCAAATGCATGTGCATACGTGTCCAAAAAGATTTTCTCTAGCGTCCAGACTAACTGACCTGAAGGGGGAGGAGGTGCACCGCGGCCCATTGCTGCCAATTCAGGACTGACCTTCTGTCCAGCTTCCTCGAGCAAGGCAATAAGTTCCTTTGCAAACCTAGCATTAGCAGCTGTGAAAAACGTGTATGCTGTTCCTTTTGCCCCAGCTCTTCCAGTTCGGCCAATGCGGTGAACATAATCCTCAAGGGATCCAGGGAAATCATAGTTAATAACAAATTTCACATCCTTCACATCTGCAACCAAATCAAGCACGACACAAAGGGATTAGAAACGAGGTCGAAGACCAATTCATAGGTTAAGTACATTCAAGAAATTCTGCTAGGTTAACACACCTATGCACCCCAATGTTAGCAGTTTTTGCCTACCAAAGCCCAAAGGCAAATCCGATGCACGCCAAAACCTTACCTGGCTCAAAGGGAAACAATTATTCATGGGCAGAGATGATTACCACCAAAACCTAAGAGGAGGAAGGATAGGTTTCATATGGAAACCTACGATCCAGCCAAATGTGGATGGCAATAGTTTTAAACAAACTAACGTGTAATAAATATTAGTTTCAGTACAATCATGTTGATAACATCCTCATAGGTCAGATCAATGAGAACAGAAGGGACTCAATACAGTCTAAAATTTGGTACAGATGCTTCAAATATGGATACATAGCCTTATTAATCAGAAAATAGTAATCTTCTTCTTGGAGTGGGTCTCATTCCAGATGGGAAACAAATAGAAATTGTTAGTTGGGAAGAATAGCATCTTTCAATAGATAAATAAAAAATTAATAAATAACAAAGAAGTGCAAATAAAATAAAATATCGTAAAATCATAAAAGATAAAACATAGGAAAGGGCAAAATGAAATGGTGTCCGGGGTAGGGGTTTGACATTTTCCAAAGTTTACACAAAACAAGAATTTCTTTCAAGTCTTTTGACAAACTTAAAAGAAATTATTTCCATACCTAGACCACGAGCAGCAACATCTGTTGCAGTCATTATGGGGCTCTTGCCGGCTTTAAACTCAGAGAGGACCCAATCCCTTTCTGCTTGACTTTTGTCTCCATGAATTGAGAGAGCAGGCCAACCATCCATGCGGAGCTGCCGAGTGATCTGATCACATCCTTTCTTAGTATCCATGAATATCAGTATTCTGCTGCCATCCATGATATCCTCAAGCAACTTTACCAGTCTGTTAAATTGAAAGAAATCAGATATATAACCTGCAGAAAATGGCTCAAGACTAACCATATGAAAGTTAGAAACCATAGAAACCATAACAACATAGACTGCACCCTACTTGTTATATTTCTGATTTTCCGTAATGATGTCAACAATTTGGCGGATCGCATGGTTAGCTTTCAAATCTGGAGAACCTATTATCACCTGTTCAACATCCAAAAGGATGTTAATTTATTATTGGCATATTAGTATTATACATAAGAACATACATCTAACAGAACTATTGCAATCACATGATAGAAAGAAAAGAGGGTATTTAAAACTACCAATTTCGTGCAGTAACAATAATTGAAGATGACAAAGTGACGCAAAAAGTTGAAGATTGTGTCCTAGTAGATGAAGAGCACTTCTATACTAAAAGCAAGATAGAGTACTTTGTATGGGTTGTAAAGGAACTGCCTCGCCAGTTGTTCAACCTCCTTTGGCCAGGTAGCACTCCAGTATAATGTTTGACGGTCTGGGCGAATCTGCATTAAATGAAACATTAGAGAACAACGGAAAATTTCAACTAAACGTAAACTATGCAAGAGAGAGAGAGAGAGAGAGAGAGAGAGAGAGAGAGAGAGATGCAGGAAAAATTCATATTTGCTCATTTCTATAGACGATTAAGGATGCAGCTTTATGCAGAGTGATTTGACCTACCTAGTTTGACTTGACTTATGTGTACTTACATTAAGATATCAAATTCATTATTGAACAAGAGCAAAGTGCAAATGGTACAATTCTCTTCTCAAGGACTTGCATATTGGTTTAGCCAAGAAAAAGCAATCAAAACATTAAAAGTAAATATGAATCTAACCTCATAGATACAGAAACTTCTTGATGACACCAGTGACCATACAGGAACATAAGCATGCACACTTAATCTTGTTTCGTGATGCTCAATAGCTCAAGAAAGTTAGAAACACAAAGTCCTGACTATTTTATCACAAACAAACCACAGATACTGCATGTGCTGCTTGGAATTGTATTCACCAGAAAGTTCGCAACATGTTTTATAAAAACAAAACCTCATGATTATGATGACATCAATAATCATCACCATCATTCTCATTTGAGGCAAAATGTTTTGCAATGGCATTTATTTAATTAGAAATGTAATAGTAAACACAAACTGTTGAGCACGTACATATTACCTAAATTCTTGGGAAAAAGAAACTAAAGACAGGATAATTATAAAAGAAACTGTATCTTTGCAACCATGGCTACCAAAAATAACAATACAAATTTATAAATAAACCCAATCCTAGACATGTATTTATAAAAAAACCCAAACACTATTTAAACATAGAAACACACCCAAAATCAACCCCAAAGTCAACAATTGTATTTTTTTTGGGTGTGTTTATAAATGGGTTTTGAGTGTGTGTAATGATGGATTTTTGGTGTGTTTATAAAGTGTTTTGGGTGTTGGGTTTTTTTATAATTTCATCTCCCATTTTGGGTGTTTTAGTAAAACTCCCAACAATTGAGAAAACGCCAAAACAGACATGCATCCCATTGCTACCACACAAAAGCACATATCTTCACACACCATATCTTTTCACCAAGACACTGACCCCACATTATCGTTCACATTCTAAAACTTTGCAGCCTGTTTACAGATGTTCGGTAAGAATAGCCTATCCTTACACTATCTCTAGTAAGGATAACTTTCGAATGACCCACAACTGTCTCAAGGTACTTAGAGCTCCAAACTGGTAGTACATGTTTTATCTAAACAAGCCTTACCTGGGTTACAAAGTTTAGAATCTATTTTCTAAGAAATCAAACCAAGAGTAATAACTTTGGAATTATAACTGCCCAAGAGTTTGTCTGAGCCAAGTTGAAGATTCACTAATCTTTTTCCAGCTTTTAAAGAAATCAGAAGTCCAAATTAACATTGGTGGGTATCAAAAACTACACAAGATTTTATAAATAAATAAAGGCTTTACAAAGGGGAGCCAAAAATAAGTAATAAATCTTCGTAGTACACATATAAAAGTGGTATATATTCTAAGTCACTTTAACACAGAAATGTAAAATCTCAAACCTGAGAAACAATTTTCCGTATCTGCGGGTCAAACCCCATGTCTAGCATCCGATCGGCCTCATCCAACACAAGGTATGTGACCCTTCGCAAGTTGGTATGATGTGACTCTATCATATCAATCAACCTCCCAGGTGTAGCAATTACAATCTCAACTCCTGATCCAGAAATAGGAATGACATCAACAGGAAGAATAAGAAATTACTGAAACCAGAAATGCTGTTTTATTCACCACCTATATCTAAATGGAGTGATAAGTCATCTTTGCCATGATATCAATGCCCATAACAGGATATCAAGTACATAATCTATGATACATAAAAGGTACAGTAGTACAACAGCAATACCATGTAAAACTAAGTTCGCCACATACCTCTCTGCAGATCACGAACTTGAGGTCCCTTTGGAACCCCGCCATATATGCATGTGCTTTTAATTTTTGAAGACGAGCCGAATTTAGTAGCCTCTTGTTGGATTTGAACAGCGAGCTCACGGGTTGGAGCTAAAACTAATACTATTGGGCCATCTCCAGGAGCTAAACAAATATTATAAAATTAAAAACTTATGCCTGACCAATACCAAATCATATTTAAAATGTAAAAGAATAAATCAATGAAGATTCAAGAACTTAATTGTCTTAACGATCCCATACATAGAATTGGCTGGGCATTGACATGGACAATTGCAGGCAACAGGTAGGCTAGCGTCTTCCCTGATCCTGTTTCAGCAATACCAATGAGATCACGACCCTTCAAAGCCATTGGCCATCCTTGAGCTTGAATTGGTGTAGGTTCAACAAATCCAGCCTTTGTAACTTCTTCCAAAACGTATTCTGCAGCCCAAGAGGAACCATTCCAGTAAGTAGACTTTAAGAAAGAAAATAATGAATCTGAACATATCATATAGGTCATCTCATTCGTTACAGTGTTAGGTGAACGAATAATGTAGCACAGGCATAGCTGGACCTAAACTACTGATAATTGGAAAGTATAGCACCACTGCTCTCCATCAAAATTCTCCAACTAAGTTATCTTCTTTCTTTTTTTTTCGGTGAATCATAAAGATTTTCAGGATAGACTAAATATAATATGTTTTCTATAGCATATATTCAGAATGAATCAATGTGAAACCTCAAAAGATAAAAATACATGTTTCTATAAGAAAATACGAAATTGTACCCGGAAACCCAGTGTCACGGAAACTCTTGATCGGCTTTGGAACATCACGGCCTTCAATAGTAATTTCCCTCCGTTGCCTATACTCCTCAACCTCCTTCTCCGACATTCTTTCCACTTCAGGTGACTCAACATAGAAATTCTTCTCGAAAGGTGTCAATCCATCCAAATCAAATTTCTTCGGTGACTCAGCACCATCATAATCCTTCTTGCTTGACGAAGACCGTGCTGAGCCACCATAGCCGGTCACACCAAACCCCGAATCACTAAAACACCGCAGAATTTACACAAATTTGAGAAACCCCAGTAAATGTAAATGAAACTCAGAAACAAAATAAGTTTTGTTTTGGGGACACTGAAGAAACACAACCATGTAGCATTAGCAAATGTAAATATGGTAAAATTAAGCGTAGCGTAACAAAGGGTAACTGAGAAAAACAATAAATTCAGGCAAATGAAATAGACAGAGAGAGTAATCCACAAACCATATATAATTATCACTTGGGCAAACTTAAACAAAAGAAAATTACCAATCAAATACATATACACATTGTGCGAACAAAGTGACCTATAACTCTAAGCATTCATAGATATACGCGTATACATACATATATGAGCGAATCAAAGAGCGTTTACCTTTTCCGGTCACGGTACGAAGTGGGGTCGCCGGAGCGGCTGTCATAGCGGCTCATGACGATGTGTTGCTGCTGCTGTGCGTCACCCGCTGGGTGAGATTATCACAGGGAATTTTTGAGGGTTTTAGGAGCAGGTTTTCGAACAAGGAAACAGCTACCAAGCACCAAAAAGGCCAAAGCTCTCTCTGGACCTTTCTTCTCTGATTCTCTGCAGCTCGTTGTATGCTAAGCTGCGGGGATGTGTTTCTCAGTGGCTAGATGAGCCACTAAGGATAAGACAAGTGTAAGCACAACCGCCAATGTGGCATTAGTTTCTGGTACTGGTACGACATGTCGTTGTTGCAGTAGGAACTATGGACCCGGCCCAATATAATAATCGCTTAAAAAAAACCTAGTATAGCCGAGCGGCTATACTATTTTTAAAAAAACCAAAAAAAAGACCCGCCTAGCAATGAGGTGTTCACGTGTCAAGGAGAGTATAGCCGAGCGGCTATTTTTTTTATTTAGCCGCGCGGCTCTACTGTTTTAAATGTAACCGCGCGGCTCTACTTTTTTAATGTAGCCGCGCGGCTATACTATTTTTTTAAAAAGGAGTATCGCCGCACGGCTATACGTTTTTTAAAATAAAATATAAAAAGTATAAAGAAATCCGGTTCATTTGGATTTTGGAGCTTCTCCCACTCGAGGAAGCAAGTGAGGAAGTATGCAAACTCTATCAGTGGCTTCTTCTTCAGCGATGGGTGTGAGAGTAGTGACAGTGAGAGCTTCATTGGATACTCAACAAAGACTCTCATACAACCGGAACGCCCCGAGAAAGATACCCAAACCCGAAAGCCCCAGCACTGTTACTGGCACCGCCAAAACCCCTCCAACTGTCACCCTAACTGCCACAACTACCTCCGTTTTTGACCTTCTCAAACGCCCAGCTCAAGGTATTCCATTCACCAATTCTTTCTGCGTGCTCGTTCTCTTCTGGGTTTGTTTGACTATGCCAATTTTTGGGTTTTGTGCTTCTGGGTTGCTGAGAAAGTTGAGGATAATATGATAAAACGTTAGAGAGTACTGGAATTGTTGTGGCTTTTGTCGTTTATGATTATGGGAAATGAAAACATTTCTCAGTTAAGATTTTTCTTTTTCTGCTGGGTCCTTAAATGTTTAGTTTGAGCTGCTCATTTCAATACTGATAAAATTAAAAAGGAAATGAGAAAATTTGAGAGAGTGCTTGAATTCTGTTGGTTTGATTAATGAAAAAGTGAGTTTTGCTTACCTAAATGATTGCTCGGTTGTTGGGAAAAACTGAGGAAAGTGAATAAAAATTGGGTTCTCAGTTTTCTGTGTTAAGCTGTTTTCGTTTCTCAAAAGAATTAAAGTCAGCTTGGATAAGAAAAATAGCTGAGGAAGAACAATTTCATGGGCTTTTACCAAGAATTGCAGGTTTTTGTAAGTCCCGTGTATATATAGTTTTCCTGAATTTAGGTGATAAGCTTGACAAATATAAGATTGAAACCTTCATTTTGTGTCTTAACCGCCTTTTTTTTTAATTAGTTATTTTTCACGATGTTTTCTCTTATTCCTTTAATACCGATGTTCATGTATGAAGCATTGTGGTAATGGTCTTTAGCAATATTATTTTGCAGGGGAAACAGTACGAACCGATGAGTTATACTTGGGCTATGAGCGATGGGTGCCTAGTCCATCAAAGGTACAGAAGCGTCTGCCTAGTCCTCCGAAGGTACAGAAGCCTCGGTCTGTACTCAATGCGGCATCATTAGCTTATATTGGTGATTGCATTTACGAGGTGTGTTTCGGTTTCAAGTTAGTTTTGTGCCATTTGTTTTACTATATGTAACTGCACATAACCAATATTCAGGGTGCATGTAACTGTAAATTTTGTATTGAACATGTGCATCATTACAGGACTAAAATCCCCAAAAGATACCATCAGCAATGAGGCATGATATTTTGTTCTGAAGTTTAGATTGATTAGTCTTTAACGTTAAGATGAGTGATGTGCTTCTGTGTGCACATATGGAAGCGCCACCATTACGGTGGAGGCATTTGTATTCAGACACGAAGATGGATTAGTAAGTAGCAGAACTGCACACCAACAGGGTCCAGGGATCCCTAGCACAGGAACAGGGGTTCATAAAAATTCAAAACAATATGATCATATTGCAAAAAACCTGTTCTGAAAAATGCAAAGAAATGATTCAACAATGCACCCATGTATGGGCATTTTAGTGTAAAAGGTCTATAGATTATTTAATGCCATATGCAGAATGCAAATCTATATTTTGATCATTTGGAGAGCATGAGAGAAAAGCATATACCTTTATGGTGCCTAGTTTTCAGTATTATAATTGACATAATTACTCTACTTCTGAAGTTTAACCTTCCTATATGACTTACTATCACTATTTATGATGCAGCTATATGTTCGCAGGCATTTTTTGTTTCCTCCCCTGAGTATCGAAGAATATAATGATCGTGTGATGGCAGTTGTACGTTGTGAAGCACAGGTATGATATACTGTGCTAATGTTTGTGTGATATAGGCAATGTCATGGTGTTATAAGGATTTTGTTCTCTCCATGCTGATGTGTGTCTGAAATTTTTGTTTTCTTGTGCTCCCTCGTAGTAATGATGTTCACTATCCAAAGAACTGCATTAGCTTTTAATCTTTTAATAAACCTAAAGATGATTTTCATTACGTCCCACACCACTCAACATTAAAGAAGAAGAAAATAAAATGCTTCATTATTTTGAGGACATGCATCCAGCATCAGTAGTCGTTCAGTCCCAGAGATGTCCTTGTAGACACTAAATAAAAAAATGTGTTACTCCTTTCTATTTCAGCTGCCAATAGCCGTCTAGGTGCCTGATGTAGGACACGGGTGAATTATAGATTTAGGTAGTTTAGCGGAAGCGTAAACAAAGAAACAAACAGAAAGTAGATGGAAAAGATGTCTTCGCTTCACACCAAGGAGTCTCCAATCTCTGGAAAATAAACTTTTCTTAATATCTCAAATCTCAACATGAATTCCTCAAATTTTGCAATATATTCCGCAACTGACATGTTGTCTTGACAAAGAGTTTGCCACTTGTCCAACAAACACTGTTGATAGGATAATGGTACATATTTCTGCTTCAACCTTCTCTTTCATCTCACCCCAATGGATGATTGGTTCTTCACCAGCTCTGTCTAGCTGTGCTTCAACATTGGTCCAAAACAATCCAGCTTGACCCACCAATTTATCTTATCAAATCTCACCCTTCGAGCTTCAGACATGTCATGCCACTCAAAATAGTGATCCATGGTGGCTTACCAGTTGAGGAATGATTTAGGATTTAGCTCACCATCAAAATTAGGAGCATCAAGTGTCACTGATCTCATCACCTTTTCATCAAGGTCTTGCTCATAGCCACGAATAAAAAATTTGTCTTTCGTCGTCACGATTATACCTCCTATCATGATGTCTCTCTGCATCTCAATCATTCCTCCTATCATGATGTCTCTCACTGTCTCAATCATTCCTTCTATCATGATGTTGTCGATTATGATTCCTCTCTTCTCCATTCACACTTGCTTCGTCATGTTGATTAGCTGCTTCTATGTCTGCAAGGCAACGTTCCATGAGTCTGAATCGGTCTTCAGATCTAGTGTTCAAATCTGCCACTTGCTTTGACAGGTTTTCCATCATCTGAACAAGACGTTCAAAGTTTGTCTCTGGCTCGTCTGTCTTTCCAGGCTTAGTCGGAGCCATCACTCGACACACGGCGCGAAGAACAAGAAATACTTAAAAAATTTGAACCCAAAGAAAACGAAAACCAGGCTCTGATACCAAATTTGATGTAGGACACGGGTGAATTGTAGATTTACGTAGTTTAGCGGAAGCATAAACAAAGGAACAAACAGAAAGTAGATGGAAAAGATGTCTTCACTTCACACCAAGGATTCTCCAATCTCTGGAAAATAAACTTTTCTTAATATCTCAAATCTCAACCCCCATAATGAATTGCATAGAAGGGTATTTATAATAATCTAACTCTAGAGTGAAAAGGAAAATTAAACTTATTCTACGAAGGAAATCCTAATCCAAATAAAATAGGAAATTTACAAATCCTACTGAAATCCTGGAAAAACTAAAAATCCTACAAAAATCTGGAAAACTTTGAGAACAAGTTAGAAACTAATTGCAGGAATACAAAATTGCCAGATTTAAAGACCAAGTTAAATGATTTCCTCTTCCATCTCTTTCTTTTGTAAACCCTAATGGGTTTGACAAAGATGTCCTCATCAATTCTCCCTGGATGAGAAGAACTCAACTCCGGCAATTTAGAATTGTAGTAACATTCAGGGAAGTCGGCATCAGTGTGCAAACATATAGACTCATCTTCTGCCTTCCCTCTGAATCCGGAAGAATCAATGAATTGTAGGATTTTGGAATAGAGCATACTTGTCAAAAGAATGTGTTTCTTGTGTTTTTTTTTCCATGTAATTGCCATATAAAACAAGAATATTTTTAGCTTATGTGTTTCCTGCGTTAGATTTATTGTGACTCGCAAATGGGTTAACTAAGAAAAACTCAGCATTTTTTTTATTTATTTTTAATTTAGAAACTATTAAACTTTTGTTCTTTGCATTTCAGGATGCACTGCTCCAGAAACTTCTGAGTGATAATTTTTTATCAGACGAAGAAAGGTCAGTAGATTCCATGCTCAATTGTATTTTTTCTTGGTTCTGTATATCAGAACTATCATCATAAAATGAATCGAGGATAACTGCAGGATCCCTTCATCATGTGGAGGTTAATTTTTAAAAAAAAATTTATGATGGATGTGCTGATATGAAATTATATATTTTTCAAGTGCAGTGGTTGTTATGCTGACTTATGTCATTTGATAATTTTTGCTTCAGGAGTGTTCTCAAATGGGGAAAGAATATTGGTTCAGCTGCTAAAACACGAACAAAAAAGCGTGCTGGTGTGGCAGTTTATAATAGAGCATCTTCACTGGAAACATTAGTCAGTGCCCTTGACCTTGTGGTGTCCTTGATTCACTATCAGCATCTGAATTTTAAACTTGTGGATTCCTAAAGGAAGTTGACATCCCTGTTTGGTGCATGTGTCATGTTCCAATTGATATCCATTTAAAAGAAAACAAAAACAAACACACCCACATGTAGGGATTTTTGTAGTATGAGACCCTACTTCCCCGGTTTATCCAGAATAATCCATAAAAATGCTGGATGGCCAATTAAAACTACCTTTATTCTTAAAAGAGGAGATGCAGTTTGTCCTGAAGGCCATTGGCATGTTAGGATTTTCCATAGTACAGTTACTAGATGCAGGAAATCTTAGGATGTAGCTGTACTGTTATGTACATAACAATATACACATACACATAAATACATATGCACACCGAAGCATACGAGCAGACATGCATACATATGAATTGTAGTCTATTTTGAATCATCCAGATGTTCTTGATGGCTATCTAAACCCTAATATTCAACATGCTTGTTTAAATTTAAGATCCTCAAAATCTAGTCAAGAACCAGCTTCTGTCTTGTTTAACATAAAGTCACCTGGCATGTTTGTAGGTTGGTTATCTCTACCTGACAAATATGGAGCGTTTAGAAGAAGTCATGATTAAGCTGGGATTCTCAACTGATTCTTCTATGCAGTTGATTTCACAGGAGCCTGAGGAGGTAAATGGTAAGTCAACACAAGCCTTTTCCTTTGTGGACACAGTACGCTTCTTTATTTTTCTATCTATTGTCGTGCATTTGTTCAACAATCTACTTTACTTCCCTTGTTCTTCTTGGCAGGCAAGCCTCCTAGTTAATGAAGATGGCGCTAAAATCAGGTGTTCTGTTTGTATCGTAAGCGGAAGGCTGCCCCGAGTACGAATTTGTTCAGTTCTAGCGATACTGTAACTGAGAAATGTTGTGTAGGATATAGGAGAACAGTCACTACTCATTATATCATATGTTTTTGTATTCACATAAAGACAATTTTGAGCAAAATCCTGGGTTTTTGAGCAATTCTCATCCAAGTATTCTTTTTCCCTTTTTATGCATCGACTGTGCATGATCACATTTGAGATGGGTACCAGTGATAAAATAAAATGAAAATAGGAGTTGATTTTGATTTGCATTGGGTTTTCAAATTGTATGTACAAATTACAATCCCATTCATTGGAAGAAAACCCAATTAAAATGAGTTAAGTTGAATAAAAACGAGTCCATTTTGGATAAGTTTCATTTGGATTTGGGCTCCGGATTTGAATTTGAGCCAATTCTCATGGAATTTTATTATACAAATTTATAAATAAACTCAATCCTAGACATATATTTATAAAAAAAAACCCAAGCACTATTTAAACATAGAAACACACCCAAAATCAACAATTGTATATTTTTTGGATGTATTTATAAATTGATTTTGAGTGTGTGTAATGATGGGTTTTGGGTGTGTTTATAAAGTATTTTGGGTGTTGGGTTTTTTTATAATTTCAGCCCCCATTTTGAGTGTTTTAGTGAAATTCCCATTTTATAAACCCCAATTTGCGAAACTACATGTCGTCCAAAATGGTGCCACGCATTGTCAATAGCTATGTCGTTTCCGTGTACTTCCTAAATCTAATTCTAAACCGCTAGATGGGTGCTGCTTTCGCGTAGGACAGTCCCTGATATCACGGCGGACCTTGGTCTGGGCCTCTGTCTCTCTCTCCGATCGACGACGTTTGGCCCTGACACTCTCTCGGCTCAGGTATCGACACAGTTCTACTCTTTTTTCTCTATTTCATTCTGTATCGTTTGGTATATCTCTGTTCTCTTTGTCATGATTTTTGAATGTTTGCCATAAATTTGGTGAATTTGTTTAGATTTGCATTCTGGGTTCGGTTAACTTGGTGGGTTGGATATGAATTTGAATGGCTTCTCTACGAATTTGCTGACGCTGTTGGAGAGAGAGAGTTGTTGGTTTTCGGATTTTGAGTCGTTTGGTTAAGTTGGGCGTTTCGGTTCTGACTTTGGTGGTGTTAATCAATTTGACTCCTTGTATTCTTATGAATTGAGCTGTTTGCATCTTTAGGATCTTTTGTGAAATATTGATTTTATTTCATTTGTTTTGTTGATGTGCTGGATATATAAGCTCATTCTGATTCTTGAAGCAACATGGACCTGTGGAGATGCTTGTTGGCCAATTCTGATAAGTTAGGCTACAAGTGCACAAATACAATTCGATATAAGAGGATTTTAGAGACAATTACGTTGGACTCCATTACAGATTTTGAAAACTCTAAGATCGCGAAAACCTCACTCATATGCACATATATTATACTAAATGTATGAGCTTTTTGCCACCTTTCCTTCTCCAAGGTCACAAAAACAAATATATATATAGCCCACATGTGTTTACTATTCGGTTGAAGTAATTTTTAGCTAATAGATGGAAATAAAATTACTCACCAACTGATGGTACATTATTTGATCATATCAATCATATCAGAAGTTCATGCAAACAATAAAAGTATATTAATGCGTTCATATTTTTTTTCAAACACTGACTTTTTGAGTTATTCAGGAACGTGTGTAAAAGATCAAAACATACAAGAAGGCACAGCAGAAAATGGCAGACTTAGAAAATTTGCTCTTGGAAGCTGCAGGAAGAACAAGTTCAGCAGGGAAAAGCCGACATTCACATTCATCATCTAGGAGGAGGCGCGGGGGTTCATATTCTGATGGAGGAAGTGACTCCAGGGGTGATGACTCAGATGATGGTCGTGGCTATGCAAGCAGGAAGCCCTCTGGAACTCAAGTTCCTTTGAAGAAGAGGCTGGACCCTACTGAAATGGATGATGAACAGGGCAGCCAGGAAGAAGGTGATTATAACGATAGTGGGTCTGATCGTGGAGGTGACAGCAATGAATCTGATGTTGGCAGTGATCTTTACAAGGATGAAGATGACAGGCGAAAGCTTGCTGAAATGTCTGAACTGCAAAGAGAGCTAATTCTGTCTGATAGAGCACAGAAGAAAGATGACAAGAGTTTAAAGGAGAAATTCAGGCCAAAGTGGGATAAAGGGAAGACCACGCATTCCAGGAAAGAGACTCCACCTCTTCCATCCTCTCGAGTGCGTTCATCAGCCAGATCTGCTGACAGGGCAGCCGCCAAGGATGACGCATTGAATGAGTTACGAGCAAAACGTTTGAAGCAGCAGGACCCTGAGGCTCACCGCAAATTGAGAGATGCTTCTCGAGGAAGTTCAGGCAGTCGAAGTTTCTCGCACATGACCAGGAAATCCTTCACTGCAGTGGGTCGTAGTAGCTCTAGTCAGAGTGACAGTGACAGTCGGTCGCATAGTGAAGATGAAGGATCGACAGGAGAAGATGCAATGATGGACAGTGATGATGAAAGGTCAGAGGGACTAACTTTTGATGATATTAAGGAAATTACCATTCGAAGGTCAAAACTTGCAAAGTGGTTAATGGAGCCATTCTTTGAAGAGTTAATTGTGGGTTGCTTTGTGAGGGTTGGAATTGGGAGGTCAAAGTCTGGGCCTATCTATAGGCTCTGCATGGTCCGGAATGTTGACGCTTCAGATCCTGATCGGAAGTACAAACTAGAGAATAAAACCACACACAAGTATCTGAATGTTGTTTGGGGCAATGAGAACTCTGCTGCCAGGTGGCAGATGGCTATGATTTCAGATTCTGCACCTGTGGAGGAGGAGTTTAAACAGTGGGTTAGAGAGGTGGAGAGAAGTGGTGGCCGGTTGCCAAGCAAACAGGATGTGCTAGAAAAGAAGGAGGCCATAAAAAAAATCAATACATTTGTCTACTCAGCCGCAACAGTGAAGCAGATGATAGAGGAGAAAAAATCTGCTTCATCAAGGCCATTAAACATTGCGCTTGAGAAGGACCGGTTGAGGAGGGAGTTGGAAGTTGCACAAAGTAAGCATGATGATGCAGAAGTGGAGAGGATCAAGACAAGATTGCAGCAATTAGAAGCACGACGGCAATCACAGGGGAAAGATAGCAAGGCTGTTAGGCTTGCTGAGATGAACAGAAAGAACAGGGTTGAGAATTTCAAGAATGCATCAGAATTAAAACCTGTGAAGACGGGTTTGAAAGCGGGGGAGGCCGGTTATGATCCATTTTCAAGGAGGTGGACTAGGTCAAGGAATTACTATGTGTCAAAGCCTGGTGAACAAAAAGGGGAGGCAGAAGCAATTGTCGATGCTGATGGTGCCTTAGCAGATATAGAAAGTAATGGAACAGCAGTGGTAGGAGCAGTACGGGCTGGCATGGCAGCTACTGCAGCGGCTTTGGAAGCTGCAGCTGGTGCAGGGAAGTTGATTGATACGAGTGCTCCTGTTGATTTTGGAACAGAGTCAAATCTAATGCACAATTTTGAGCTGCCAATATCATTGGCTACTCTTCAGAAGTTTGGTGGGCCACAAGGAGCTCAGGAAGGATTCCTGGCCAGAAAACAGAGAATAGAAGCAACAGTCGGGTGCCGAGTCCCAGAGAATGATGGGAGGAGGCATGCGCTGACACTTACAGTTAGCGACTACAAGAGAAGAAGAGGGCTACTCTGAAATGCAATGCTCCAGCCAAGCTGCAACGATAGAGGCAACACACATCATCTTCAGCAACAAACTGAATTGGTGGTGCTGGTTGTCAAAGTCGAAGCTTGTTCTTGGAAGTTATAGCTTTAAATAAATACACTTGTTTCAAGTGGGAGAGACAGTGTGCCTGTGTTCTGGTCTTTTGAGTACTCAGTCAGGTGATGTCATCATAAGAGGTCTTGATTTCTAATTTAAAATAAAAGATCATGTTCGTGTGATTTATTTGTTGGAACTCGGAAGAGATCACAGGAAATGCAGCTTGTGAGATTTGGTATCTGTATAATGTGGTTCTGTTTTGTCGATGTAATTATAACCTTTTGTAGTGTGTGGGTTAATTTTTGACTTTACTTCACTTGTTATTCTTGGCAGGCAAGCCTCCTAGTTAATGAACATTGAACCGAAATAAGCTGTTATGTTCTGTTTGTATCGTAAGCGGAAGTCTGCCCGAATTTGTTTAGTTTTAGTGATACTGTCTGTAACTGGGAGATGTTGTTTAGGATATAGCAGAAGAGTCATGTACTCAACATATGTTTTTGTATTCACCATATAGACAATTTTGAGCAAAATCCTGGGTTTTTGAGCAAATCCCGAATGCCACCTAAGTATTATTTTTCCCTCTATCATATGCATGATCGCATTTGATATTGATAACAGTGATAGGGGCGTGGGATAATTAAATATGCTTTAATTTTAAAAAGGATTTGATATTTGATTTGTTAGTTTCAGTTTTTATTTCTCTACTTTTGACCCATGATCCAGATGCACACAGTACCACTCTTGGGGTCCTAGCCCATAGCAAAAAACTTATGAACAACTTTGTTAAGTGGATTTTGGGGTTTGGATGGTTGAGGAGGTTGAGCCCAATGGTTAGAACATGGGGTGGGAGCCAATCTCTCAAGAAACAATGACATTACGGTAATAGCATCTCAGTTAGGCGAGTAGGTTAAGGCTGTGTGTTCGTTCTTTGTACCTAATTTCGATACTCCTCCTAATAATTAGAATATCACTTTCTCAAAAACAAAAACAAAATGACATCATGTTGACTAATTTCGATACTCCTCCTCAATAATTAGAATATCACTTTCTTAAAAACAAAAACAAAATGACATCATGTTGACAGTCGCATAGACGTGATTCCATCTCCATTTTCAAAAAATCTTTGAAATTTAGTTCCATTATTTCAAAACCAATCTCCTTTATAATTCTACAGCTTTCAGTATTCAGTATGGTGACTGATACTGCATTTAAATAATAGAGAGACAAAAGTGGTTGTAAGTGCTTTTTTTTCTCCAATGCCAAAATAATGTCTTGAACTTTATACGATTCTAAACACAAGATTGGTGCAGAGATCTCTATTTGCTTAAACTAACTTTTTTTTGTTGAGATATCACTTTCTGAGATGAAGATAGATGCATGAAGAAAACTCATCCATAATGATAAGATCATGAGTTCTTGGGGTATCCAAAAGTTCACCTTTGATCCTACTTGTAAAAAAAAAAAAAAAAAAAAAAAAAAAAAACTTGTATCTTGTCACCTAATGGTCCCACCATTCTTGTTGATGTGTCATGGCTATCCTTCTAGCACAAATCACTATATTGGAATCGGTGATTTCACATTTGTGATTCTCATCAAGTGCATGCATGTTACTTGCTTCCCAACTATTTAATCAATTTGATTACGATGCTTCAACTACTGCTATTCAGAATATGAATGTCTTTTCATAAGGAAAACATGCAATTATGGCCAAAATGCAGGACACGGAATGGATTCATATTATATAAAAGAAATTGTTATGGTTGATGATGACGAGTAGGGGAAGGGGACATAACTAATCATCTAATAAATGGATAGAAGTGATTAGAGAACCTTCAATTCTTTAATTAAGCAACCTCTTTTGGCCTACTCAAAAATGAAATATATATATCAACGGGGTCTAGCCCAGTGGAAAGAGGTCTTGACTTGCAGACCAAAGGTCTCAGGTTCAAATCCCCACAATATCATAGTTGTGTGTGTGTGTGAGAAATCTTCATCCCCTATAGTTTAGATTATCGCTTACACTTCAAAAAAAATTATATTAATTAATAAGAAAAAACTTCAGAATTAAGCAAATTGTCTTTCTGTTCTCAAACCATAGCCAAACTCATTCAAGCTGCTGATGCAGCTGCATTGGCATACACCAACACAGAGTGAGACATATTGTGAGCCATCATGAACAAAATTTTATGCTAATCAATTCAATTCAAGTTGTATATATAAAATCATTACTTATATGTCTTTTCTTTTAAGTTAATTCAAGCCTAATCTTCTAAACAAATTACCAATTCAATCTGGGACTGCTTGAACAGTAGGAAGAAGAAGGGGATGAGGGAATCATAGGATATAAATCCGTGTCATTGTCTTGTGTTAAACAAGTAGGACCAACAACAAGACCAAAAGTTTTGGATCATATGGTGTTGTGGATATGTGGCCTTGCTCTTATCAAGCAAAAGAATATGTGGCATTACAATCTCAAAGGCTAAGGTGACCCTTTTCCTCTTCTCACTCTTTGCCACTTTGTAGAGTTTTCTTGGCCATGCTGCAGGATCAATATTGATAAACAATGAGACTTCATATGCAATCTAGACCTCTGGTTTTCATATGCAATTCAGAGTCTCTCTAATGAATAGGATGATAGGCCTATCCACATTAGGGCAGTTTGCAGGTGAAAGATCTATGGTGTTCAAACTGAACAAAAAACAAAAACAAAAATCTATGGTGTTGAAATGGATAGCTGCTGATCACCATGTTGTTTTGTGTGCATGAGAGTAAAGAAGAAACTAGAAAAGTGCATGGCATATGGCCAAGAAATTGTGATAAGAGTAGGGCCAGGTTCTTTTCAGTAAGGATAAGCTTAAATGCATGGCATTCCCATCCTAATTTGAATAGAGACCTTGCTGAAAGAGATTCACAAATTCAAGATCAGTGGTTAATTAGTTTCAATAATTAATACAAGGAGGAGGAGTATTGCATAGCAACCAAACTATCTGGCTTTGATGATGAAAGACATGCACTTTTTGAAAGGAAAAAAAAAACTTCCCAACCCTTAATGGTATATCTATTGGCATGGTGGTCTAAGAAATTGGTAATTGTTGGCCCTCTTTGTTCCTCATGGTGAGAGAATCTGGAGTGGTAGGGTTAGCCCCCAATAGCCATGTATTAATATATATATAAATTTGCAAGATATTTTTGAACCAAATATGCATATATTATACAAAATGTATGAGCTTTTTGCTACATGTTTAATGAAATCTTAATGTGAAAGAGATACTAAGATTAACATGTAACTTTGTAGGAAGAGACATGCTTGTCCCTACACATATATGTTTTCTTCTAAAGCTTTCAACTTCAATCTCAAATGCTTGAACTACACATAAACATTTCAATGTTCTTACATGAATTATTGGGAGAGAGGCCAACAGAGTCTAGTCCAGTAGATAAAGGGCCTTGATTTGCATACAAGGAGTCTCATATTCGAACCCCCATAGCATCATTTGTGTGTGTGTCGGAAATCCCCCTCTACACTAATTTAGACTATCGCCTGTACTAAATGAAAAAAAATCTTGAGAGAGTGAAAAGGATGCAACACTAGCTAGGCCCAATTACTCTGGTAGGGTAAACAAAGTAAAATTTGTTCATACGATAAAAGATAATTAGGCCCACAGATAGTGATCCCTGTTGTACTGGATTTAGGATTGGGTCCACCAAATCCAAGGACCAAAATATTGATTGGTATGTGACTCTATGGCAATTCATTCATAAATAATAAGATAACTTCAAAGTTTTTATGTGGCAGACTCATCCATAAGAATAGTGCACAAACACAATGCACAATTCCAAGTTCTTAAATTATTTCGTAAAATTTAATTGTAAATTAAATATACATACGTGCGATTTCGTTCCTCTTCTATTTCGTTTTGAGCTTCATCCTTGTAGGATGATATACATCAAACTGTTGCAGTGGATTAAGTATGTGTGTGTCTCATGGTCCCATTTCTTCTTCTGTTAATGGGTCACACTCGTCAACTTGTCTCATGGTTGTGCTAGTTGTGTCTTTTCTTTTGTCATCCTCATGCATCTTGATAGATCAAGAAAAATAATTTAAGAAATAAAATACCAAAAAAATAAAAGCCATATGTAACTTCATCAATATCACAGCCTTTTTTTTTTTTTTTTTTTTTTTTTTTTATATGAATATGTATTGATTAATTCAATAAAAAAAGCCACTATCCACAAATGACCATTACAATAACGGTGCGATTTAACATTAAAATTAAGATAATATTGTGCGCATCCACTAACAATCACGCAAGATCGAAGAAACTCTAACATAGACATCCCAACTAAAATTGCAAACTCATAATAATCAAACAGAGATAAAGCTTGAAAATACTGAAAGAAGAGAGATTGGATGATAGAGCTAGAACCTTTTTCATTTTTATTTATTTATTTTTTAACATAAGATGTTGATAGTCTTGATTTCAAATGTACACGCAAAAAATTCCCCCAAAGTTCACCATTAATTTGAGAAACATGGGCCTATTTGTTCGTGGTCACTTCAAAGGCAAAATGGATTATAGATGGCCCATGAAACCATAGGGGACCCTGCATTTGACAAAATTATGAAGCACTTGATTAATTAAGGGAAATCTAGGACCCACTAAATTACCACAGAGAATATAAGAAGAAGAAAAGGTCATGGTGTGATGGGGACCTTTTGGTCCTGTAAATATTTAAATTTGCTACATTGGTGTCAAGCTGTTTAGAAATGCATGCCAGACAATCGAAGGTACAAACTTTAATATATACAGTGCCCAAACAAAAAGACTTAAAGTCGAATTTCTATGCAACAGGGATGCAATTGTCGCGTTTATATTAAGTGAATTACACATTGTTATGTGAAAAACGTTAAAATGTATAACAATACGTGATTG